ATCGTGCCCCTGTACTCGGTGCTGGTGAGGCCGCACCTTGAATACTGTGTTCAGTTTTGGGCCCCTTACTACAAGAAAGGTGTTGCATTGTTGGAACATGTCCAGAGGAGAGCAACCAAGCTGGTGAGGGGTCTGGAACACAAGTCTTACGAGGAGCGACTGAGGGAACTGGAGTTGTTTAGTCTAGAGAAGAGGAGGCCGAGGGGAGACCTTATCATCCTCTACAACTGCCTGACAGGAGGCTGTAGTGAGGTGGGGGTTGGCCTCTTCTCCCTGGTAACACATGCTAGGACAAGGGGGAATGGTTTGAAGCTGCGCCAGGGCAGGTTTAGGCTAGACATTAGGAAAAACTTCTTCACCAAAAGGGTTGTCAGGCTCTGGAATGGGCTGCCCAAGGAGGTGGTAGAGTCCTCATCCCTGGAGGTATTTAAAAGAAGGATAGATGAGGTGCTTAGGGACATGGTTTAGTGGTGGGATGGCAGGGTTAGGTTAAAGGTTGGGCTCGATCTTAAAGGTCTTTTCCAATCAAAGTGATTCTATGATTCTATGTGAAGCAATTTTAAAAATTGTTTCCAAAATATTAATTGGCAATAGTCAAGCTTGCATAACAACTCTGGCAAATAACCTTGTCTGACATAGTTTATTTTTTTAAAAAAAGAAGCAAAACAAAACCCAAATCTAGGTGTATATTCTGTATGAAAATACTGAACATGCAATCTTAAAAAAAGGCTTTTTTTGCACCCAAGACAAGCTCAGCAGAACCACTAAAATTGCACATTTTTTTCTTTTTTTCTGGGAAGGGCAGCTTGAAAAGATGTAGTTACTACATGTTTTTTAAAATTATCTTTTCAACAAGCAATTACCATATTCTATATCTGCTCAAAACTAAAGAAATAAAAGCTTCAAATTCATACTTTAACCTAAAAATGTATTATTCAGTATTAGATACCATTACTTAGTAACATTAGGAAACAACATATACCACGTATCTTTTGCTTTTTCCCAGTTATGACTTTATGACTAATGCATCAACAGAAGTAAACAGTGGTAACTACAATTTAATTGCTTCAGTGACATTACAGAGTAAAGAATAATCACTGAAAACTCTTATTTTTCTATAAAACGAGTGAAGTGCTTCAGAACATGAAATTGGGGTAGAGAAGCAACTATACCATTACTAGAGACCACAGAATCACAGAAAAAAAATCGACTGGAAAATATCTCTGAAGATCATTTTTTCTAACCTCCTGCTCAAAGCAAGGTTTATTTCCTAACTAGTTTAGCCTGCTCATGATCTTACCCAGTTGTGTTCCAGAAATCTCCAAAGACAGAGATTCAACAACCCAATAACCTCTCTGGCAAACTGTTCACTCTTTGACCACTCTCATGGTAAAATTTTTCTTCTAATACCCAAAAGTGCCTTGCCTTGTTGCAACTTATGACAGCTGCCTCCTGTCCTTTCACTGCACCTCAGTATCTGGCTCCATCTTCTGTACATCTCCTCCATCAGGTAATGAAGGGCTACTACTATGACTTTACGCTCATTTTAGGAAAAAAAAAACAGAACACCGCAGCTACCTTTCAAAGTGGAGCGACTAGCAGGTCTCCCAACGTTATTTTTCTGATGCTTTGTTGACATACGCTTTATCTGGCGGGGTGTACTAGGAGGAGAAGTTCCATAGAAGGTGTCAGCACTTGCTTCATCTGATAATTCCTCAGGGTCAGATTCAGAGATCTTGCAAGTAGCATCTTCTGATTTCCAC